TTGGTACATTCTAGGTAACGGGTATCTACATGACCAGCCTCCAGTAAAAGCCTTGGGTGATTAGCCTCTAATGGGCTTCCCTGGGCAGAAACATTGAATGCATGTTACTGTATTTTCCATTGCTGAAGAAATGAGCATGCTCAGTGTGCCACCTCACAAGAGGGAGAGAGATTAGGGAAGCCCATGCATGGATTTCTCCAGACTCCACCTGTTGCTTCTTTTTTTGATGATCCTACTTTCACTATAATAAACCTTAGCCATGTATACAGCTGTATGTTAAGTCCCTTGAGTCCTTCTAACACGTCACCTAATATGTAGGTGATCTTGGGGTCTACCATATATGCAAAATGATATAATATTATTTGAAGATGGACTAAAATATTATTTTAAAATATATTTTGTAAATCCTAGACAACTTCGAACAATATCATTAATATCACATGCAAGTAAAATTTTGCTGAAGACAATTCAAAAACGGTTGCAGCAGGACGTCAACAGGGAACTGCCAGAAATTCAAGCCAGATTCAGAGGAGGACATGGAATGAGGGATATCACTGCTAATGTCAGATGGATCTTGGCTGAAAGCTGAGAATACTAGAAAGATGTTTACTGTGTTTTATTGACTGTGCAGAGTCATTCAACTGTGTGGATCATAACAAACTATGGATAACGTTAGGAAGCATGGAAATTCCAGAACACTTAATTGTGCTCCTTCAGAACCTGTACATAGACCAAGAGACAGTCGTCTGAACAGAACAAGGGGATACTGTGTGGTTTAAAATCAGGAAAGGTGTTCATAAGGGTTGTATCCTTTCACCATACTTACTCGTTCTCATATGCTCATATGCTGCGCAAGAGAAGCTTGACTGTATGATGAAGAACATGGCATCAGGATTGGAGGAAGACTGATTAATATGCAGATGGCACAACTTTGCTTGCTGAAAGCGAAGAGGACTTCAAGCACTTACTGATGAAGATCATAGACTACAGTCTTCAGTATGGATTATACCTCAACACAAAGAATACAGAAATCCTCATAACTGGACTGATAAGTAACATCATGATAAACAGAGAAAAGACTGAAGTCAAGGATTTCATTTTACTTGGCTCCACAGTCAACACCCATGGAAGCAGCAGTCAAGAAACTAAATGACATACTGCATTGGGCAAATCTGCTGCAAAAGACCTCTTTAAAGTGTTGAAAAGCAAAGATGTCACTTTGAGGACTAAGGTGCACCTGACCCAAGCCATGATATTTTCAGTAGCCTCATTTGCATGCGAAAGCTGGACAGTGAATAAGGAAGACCAAAGAAGAATCGACACACTTGAATTATGGTGTTGACGAAGAATATTGAATAGACCACGGACTTCCAGAAGAACGAACAAGTCGGTCTTCTAAGAAGTACAACCAGAGTGCTTCTTGGAAGCTAGGATGGCAAAACTTCATCTTACATACTTTGGACATGTTAATCAGGATAGACCAGGCCCTGGAGAAGGACATCATGCTCAGTAAGGTAGAGGGTCAGCAAAAAAAGAGGAAGACCCTTAATGAGATGAATTGACACAATGGCTACAACAGTGGGTTCGAGCATAGCAATGATTGTTGAGCATGGCGCAGGACTGGGCAGTGTTTCATTCTGTGGTGCATAGGGTTGCCATGAGTCAGAACCGACTTGACAGCACCTAACAGCACCGCAACAACGACTAAAACAAAACGAGGAGGGTGGTGGGATTGGGCCTGCTAAAAAAGACATAGGAACCAACCTAAAAGAGCTTCCAATGGCCAAACCTGAAATTGTATATCAGAATAACTAATGATAGTAATTTATTATGACCCAAAGAATAAAAAATAAATTTCAGTGAGTCCATTCTGATATAATAAATAATTGAATAGATCAGTGGGTGGAAAGGCACAAATCTTCCTTACAGAAGAATTCCGAATCATATATGTAGCTAACTCCCCGTTTCAGGAGGTAGAGCTTAATCCCCCTTCTCTTAAGTGTGGGCTGGACTTAATGACTTGCTTCCAAAGAATAGCATATTAATGAGAAGGGGAAAATAGTAACTTTACAGTGAAGAAACCTGCCAGGCACCACTTTAATCAGGTAATCAAGGTTAACATCACAAGTGAGGTCATGTTGACATCAAATACCCCCCTGATAAAATGTGATAAAGGGGGCATTTCACCTCTTCAGTATCCTACCCTAAAATGCATACTCTAGTCTGATAGTAAGAAAACATCAGATACACCCAGATTGTAGAACATTTTGCAAAATACCTGACCAGTATTAAAAGATCTCAAGGTCATGAAAACTAAGGAAAAAAATAAGAAACTTTCACAAATCAGAGGGGACTATGGAGACATGACAAATGCAGCATAGTATCCTGGGTGATATCCTGGAATGGAAAAAGGACGTTGGGGAAAACTAGTAAAACCCAGATATACTCTGTATAAGGACATAGTATTTCTTGGTTTTGACAAAGGTACGACCCTGGTTATGTAAGATGTTAATATTAGAGAAGCTGGCTGCAAGGTATACAGTAGTGTTTATCCTTTTTTTTTTTTTTTCCATTATTGCCTCTCTACGGAGCCTTTTTAGACATTTTTTTCCCTAAACACTTCCCTCATGAAATTTTAATATCACAGATATACTACATATCTGTTTATATACTGCGGCCTGCTTGGGGCACTATAACCCCTCATTGAGCATGCATGGTATACCGGAACTCTCTGTACTATCTTTGTGACTTTTCTGTAAAACTAATTTTTTTTCCCAAAATAAAAAGTTTAGTTAAAAACAAAAAATCCAAAGTAGCAATAAAAGTGAATTTCCTCAATCTGTGGAAAAGTTCACATCTGTGAAAAATTTATAATGTACTGGTGAAATATTGAGCATTCTTCACCTAATATCAGAAGTAAAGCATGGACATTTGCTCTCATCACTTGTATTCAGCATATTACTGGAAGTCCTAGCCTGTTCCAGAAAAAGGAAAAAAAAGGCATAAAGTCTGGAAAGGAAGAAGTGAAATTATCTTTATTTGCAGATGACACAAACATGTAGATAATCTGAAGAATATACAAAACAATACTACAACTAATTTGTTAATGTAGAACAATTTCAAGATAAAAGGTAACCATACAAAAATAATAAATTTACACAAAAAACTCCAAAATATTTCTGAGAGAAAATAGAAAAGACCTAAATAAATAGATATTTTATTGTCTTTCATTGGAAGACTCAAAATAGTTAAGATGTAAATTCTCCTTTGTAATTGATGTATAGAGTCACTACAGGCACTATCAAAATCCTAGCAGGCTTTTGTGAAGAAATTGACAAGCTTATTTTAAAATTTATATAGAAATGCAAAGGATCTGGAATAGATAAAGCGATCTCGAAAAGGAAGAAAATGTTGAAGGATATGCCCTACCTGATTTCAAGACTCACTATAAAGCTACAGTAATTAAGACATTGTCAGATTTATGTGAGCATGAACAAATAAACCAATGGAAAGAATAGGGTGTTAGAAATAGAGCCACACGTACATAGTTACTTGATTTTCCATGAAGGTACCAATATAATTCACTGGAGAAAGGAAAATGTTTTCAATAAATGGTGTTGGAACAAATCGGTATCCATATGGAAAAAATGAATCTTGATCACTACCTCACATCCTGCAGAGTAATTAAGATGATCATAAACCTAAATGTAAAAGTTAAAATCATAAAGATTCTAGAACAAAATTTTGAGAATTTGGGGTAGGCAATGATTCATCAGTACACAAAATGCATTTATTATAAAAGAAAAAAATCAGTAAATTAGACTATTAAATTATTTCTGCTCATATAAAACATACTCTTAAATAAAAAGGCAAGATTCAGAGGGTAGAAAATATGTACAGTATGTACATCTGACACAGAATTTGCGTTCATAATATATAAAGAACTCGTATAAATTAATATTTTCTAGATGTCACGGCAATGCCAAGTTTCTATAAAAGTTTTTAAATGCTTACTCTTAATTTCTGTACTCAAATCATAAACCAGTAAAATTGTTTGCATACTGGCACAGGTTCAAAGACCACGCTTTGCATAGCACTGACTTAGTGGCTGTCAGCTCACATAACTTTTTATCATTTCTTTTTCAAATGTTCATGGTGCAGAAGCAAAGTCTTTACCTGTCCAATAATTCAATTCTCATTCATTACAGTTGATTTAACTGCAGAAAGCAGCTGTTATCGATTGAATTGTGTCCCCCCCAAACTGTGTGTCAACTTGGCTAGTCCATGATTCCCAATATTGTGTGATTGTCCACCATTTTGTCATCTGATGTGATTTTCCTACATGTTGTAAATCCTGTCTCTGTGATGTTAATAAGATGGGATTAGCGGCAGTTATGTTAATGAATCAGGACTCAGTCTACAAGATTAGCTTGTGTCTTAAGCCAATCTCTTTTGAGATATGAAAGAGAAAAGCGAGCAGAGAGACAGGAGGACTTCATACCACTGAGAAAGCAGCACTGGCAGCAGAGAATGTCCTTTGAACCTGGGGTTCCTGTGCTGAGAAGCAGCTAGTCCAGGAGAAGATTGATTATCAAGGACCTTCCCCCAGAACCAACAGAGCCAGAAAGCCTTTCCCTGGAGCTGACACCCTGAATTAGGACTTCTGGCCTCCTAGCCTATGTGAGAATAAATTTTCTCTCGGTTAAAGCCATCCACCTGTGGTATTTGTGTTACAGCAGCATTAGATAACTAAGACAGCAGCTCTGTAATTTCATTCAGTATTTTTCTTCTGGGAAGCTAGTTCCTTTTAGAAAGTATTCATTACTTATGTATGTGTTAAAACCTTGATAGCTGCTTTCTAAAATTTAGACTATGAGAATGGTCATGTTATAGCAACTGGCTTTATTATTTGTCTTTGACATACTTTATTTCCTTCTTCTTTGTTCAGCTCAGCTATTTCTTGGTCTGTTGTACTTAACAATCTTTGTTTTCTCATTTAGGGTACATCAATGAAGGGTTCCTCCTCTTGCAGCATTCCGTGGATAAGGCCATCATGTTGTATCATAGCAGTGGTGCCGCAGAAAAGCTGTTCGACGCTATCAGTATTTTTGTTCAGAGATTTCCATACCCGACACATCATCGTGATTTGTTCTTTACATATTCTGGTTTTTTTATTCCTTTAGTAGTCTTGTTTATGTTCTCTGTGAATCATTTTACCCTCATTCGGTCCATTGTGTGGGAAAAGGAAAACAGATTGAAGGTAACTACATTTTTCCTGTGGTAGATAGAGCTTCATAGAAAATTTGGGGTCTGTGAAGCAAGTTTATGTGGAGAATTGGATTATTTCTACACATTCAGTACTCTTAGATGGTTATGGTTCAGTAGCGGCCAAGTAATGAGTATATCTCTTGGCAATTTTCTAATACTTTATTTTTTTATAAAAATGTTGATTTGGTTTTTAGTCTTTTTTCTAGACAACTACTTCACAAGATTATTACAGATTAAATTTAAATGCCAAATGCCATAAAACTTCTTTGGAATCAGGTTGGGCTACAAAGAGATAATCAGATGGGCTGTTGGAATTGTACCTAGATGAATTTAAAATACAGTTCAGTTCCACGATTCTGTGAATCTGGTTTATTTATTTATTTTTCGACCAATTTCTGATCTCTGAAATTATTTCTTTTAGATATCCTCTTATGGTTCCTCAGTTACTGTATCCTGGTCGAGAGCATGATGTATTAATACTAGAGGCTTTTTAGTTAAAAATTCAGTCATTTGCCCATCCAGCCAATGATTCATTCAGTGATTACTTATTTATTTATGTACTATTTACTAAGTACCTACTTTGTTTCAGGGTCTCTGATAAATCAACAGATTTGAATCCTGGCTCTGTTACTTCTTGACTCTGTAACATGTCGTATAACTTTTCTAGCTCAGATGTAAATTGAGTATAATAATACCTAACTTGCAGAGAAGCCATGCTGTTAAATCAGATATTAAGTGAAAAATTATCATCCCCAAATCACCCAGACCTTCTGTTGTGAGGTATAAATGAGGAACTTCATGAAGAGTGCTTAGTGTGTTGTCTGGCCCGTGAGTGCTCAGTAACTGTCAGCTGTAGCTATCAATACCAATGATCCCTCCGTTTCACTTACCTGCTTTGTGCAATCGTGAGTCGTGCCATTGCTTCCTTCCGTGTATTAGAGGCCACAGCACTCTCCAGATCAGGCTCACATTATTTCTTACCATCTAGCTCTTCTCACTTAGGGATCTTGTCACTCATCTCCCTATCCACTATTTCCATTCCTTCTAATCTGTCATGTATACTGTTGCCAGGGTAATTGTCCTGTAACATGGATGGATAGAAGCAAATTTTAGTAACTCCTTATTGCCTGTAGAATAAACTCCATTTAAGCATATAAATTTTCTAAGGTTTGGCCCATACTTACTTCTTATTTTCTTTTTATTGTTTTACCCCTGTAAATTCCTTTCGTTCTATCCAAAAATGAAATGGCTTATTTTGAAGTTTGTTTCCTCTGATTATAATGCCTCTCTTCTCTTTTCTGTCTGGTGAACATATAGTTAACTTTCCTGCCTTGGCTTTCATAGTGGCCATCTCCTTGTTGATGTTTCTCTTTAATTCTTAAATATAAATTAACACTTTTTCTTTTGTGTCCCCAAAGCATGATAGAGAAACTTCAACCATGTAGTTTATAACATTTATTCATTATTTTTATTTTTAAACTTTTTCATTGAAGTATAACATACATATGTACGTACAGAAAAATGTACAAATATAAGTGTATGTCTGAATGGATTTATCGTAAAGTAAGTATGCCTATGTTATCATGATCTGTTAAAAAATAAAACATAGCTAGCTAGCAATTTAGAAGTTGTCTTCTGTACCCAAAGGTATACACTGACCTGATTTATAATACCATGGGTCAATTTTGTCTGTTTTTGAACTTGATATAAATGGAATCATGCACTGTATTCTTTAAGGAGCCCTAGTGGCACAATGGTTAAGCATTTAACTGGTAACTGAAAGGTTGGTGCCTGGAATCCACCCAACCACTCCACAGGAGAAAGACTTGGCAATCTGCTTCCATAAAGATTACAGCCAAGAAAACCCTGTGGGGCAGTTCTACTCTGTCACATGGGGTCGCTGTGAGACTGGGTCAGCTTGGCAGCACCTGACAACAACAACATTAATTACATTATTTTGTGTTTGTGTGATTCATTCTGCTAAACTATTCAGCGGTAGTTTATTCACGGAGTTCTAAGATTCCATGGTATGACTGTATCACAATTTTTTAAATCCATTTTTCTGTTGATGGTCATTTGGGTAGTTTAGGGTTTGGCTATTATAAAGAATGCATCTGTGAACATTTATACTTACCTTTTTTGCTGAGTGTTAGGTTATGCATGTTTAACTTTAGTAAATAATGCCGAAGTTTGCCAAGAAAATTCTACCAAATTACACTCCCAGTAGCAATGTATGAGGATTCAGTTTATTGCACATCCTCACCAACATTTGGTATTGTCAGTCTTTGTTAATTTCAGCAAGTCCAATGAGTGTGTAGTGGTATCTCATTGTGCTGGATTGTTCATTTGCCAACCTGTTTATACTGGGGACTCTATGTCCTAGAACATTCTTTTCTGTATGGTTCCTGATTAAAGTTGGCCAAAAGTGAAATGGCATGAAAATTAGAAGGATGAAGTGAAGCAGTAGTCATCACATTCTAAAGATTATCACTGGTAACAGGTAGAGAACAGATACAGAAGTGTAGGTGCATTCCAGTCTGTCCTCAGTCTTCTGGACTCTGTCTAGCTCTCCTTTGCAGTGTACATTTCTCTAATGATTAATGAGGTTTAGCATATTTTTACATGTTCATTTGTATACCTTTCTGGTGAAGTATCTGTTCAGATTGCTTACCTATTTTTTGCATTGATTATCTGTTATGTCTTTTTCTTGGGGAGTTATAAGAATTCTTAGTGTATTTGGAATACGATTCCTTTCCTGGTTGCTATGCATTGCAGATGCCTTCTCCTACCTTTCACTCTCACTTTCAGTGGGCTTCTCAGGTAATCAGAAGTTCTTCATTTTCATGTAAGATGTTTGTCAGTCTTTTCCTCTGTATTTAGTGATTTTTATTTCTAATTTCAGCAGTGTTGTACTGCTCCAAGATCATGAAGATTCTCTCTTGCATTATTTTCTACAAACTTTAGAATATTATTTTCCATTTTAGATATATAGTCCTACCATTGATTTTTACCTACAAGTTGTGTAGAAATCAAATTTCATTTTAAAAAAAAATACAGCTATCTTATTGATACGGCACTGTTTATTAAAACAATCATGGTTTCACAAATAATAGATGCTGGAGAGGTTGTGGAGAGACTGGAACGCTTATACACTGCTGGTGGGAATATAAAATGGTACAATCACTTTGGAAATTGATTTAGCACTTCCTTAAAAAGATAGGAATAGAAGTACCATACGATCTAGCAATCCCACTCCTTGGAATATATCCTAGAGAAATAAGAGCCATCACACAAATAGATATACGCACACCTGTGTTCACTGCAGCACTGTTCACAATAGCAAAAAGATGGAAACAACCTAGGTGCCCATCAGCGGACAAATGGATGAACAAATTATGGTATATTCACATAATGGAGTGCTATGCAATGATAAAGAACAGCGATGAAGCTGTGAAACATAACATGGAGGAATTTGGAGGGCATTATGCTGAGTGAATTTAGTCAGTCACAGAAGGACAAATATTGTATAAGACCACTATTATAAAAACTCAGAAAAAGGTTTAAACACAGAAAAAAGCATTCTTTGATGGTTATGAGGGTAGGGAGGGTGAGGGTTATTCACTAACTAGATAGTAGACAAGAATTAGGTGAAGGGAAGGACAGCACACACTACAGCATTTTGGTAGATTGTTTCTTTCGAGGAATTGTTCCGTTTCATCTAAGTTATCAAATTTATGGGCATAGAGTTACTAATAATAATCCTTTGTTATTCTTTTGGGCCCCTGGTGGTGCAGTGGTTAAGAGCTTGACTGTTAACCAAAAGTTCGGCAGTTTGAATCGAGCCGCTCCTTAGAAACCCTATGGGGCAGTTCTACTCTGTCCTGTAGAGTCGCTGTGAGTTGGAATCCACTCACCGGCAATGGATTTTTTATTATTCTTTTAATGCTCATAGAATCAGTTATGAAGATTTTTCTTTCATTTCTGACGTTAGTTATTTGTGTCTTCTTTTTTATTTTCTTGTTTGCCCAACTAGAGGTTTATCAATTTTATTGATCTTTTCAAAGAACTAGCTTTTGATTTCATTGATTTTCTTTCTTGATTTTTAGTTTCATTGATTTCTATTCAAATTTTCATTATTTATTTTTCTCTGTTTACTTTGGATTTAATTTGCTCTTCTTTTCGTGTGTGTTTCCTAAGGTGGAAGCGTAGATTATTGACTTTAGATCCCTATTGAGTTTAGATCTCTGTTATTTTCTAATGTATGCATTTCATGCAGTAAATTTCCCTCTAACCACTGCTTATGCTGCATCTCACAAATTTTGCTAAGTATTTTCATTTTCATTTAGTTCAAAATGTATTTTACTTTCTCTTCAGACTTCTTTGATGCATGTGTTATTCAGAAGTGTATTGTTTCATTTCCAAGTATTTTGGTATTTTCAGGCTTTTTTATTGATTTCTAGGTTAATTCCATTGTGGTTGGTGGGCATACTTGGTATTATTATTATTTTTTAATTTGTTAAGATTTTTTTTTAATTCCAAGATTTGATCTGGCTTGATGAATGTTCCATGTGAGCTTGAGAAGAATGTGTATTCTGCTATTGTTGGATGAAGTGTTCTATAAATGTCAATTAGTCTCCTTTCCCTTTTTCTACTTTTTTCTCCAAATGTATAATTTTCAACCAGTTAATTCTACTCTGAAAATTTTTCAGTGACTAATAGTCTTTTATAGCTGTATGCAAGATGTAGGTGAAGTCTCTCCTGCCTTTATAAAAATTTTAATAATTTATCTTGAATGGTCAAGATATTCTCTGTATTTCTGAACAGATGAGTCAGTAATATGAGGAATATATTTATGAAGGTTGGAAGCATGCAGATGACCTCCAGTATGAAACTGAAGACTTTCCAGCAAATGCCATCTATTTTTCTCTGCTTAACTACCACTTTGTTCAGCATTCTATTGCCTTGTTCTAGTCATGTTTCAGTGAATAGTCT